TCCAGGGCCGCCGCGCCGCAGGCTCTGGGCCCGCGCCGCGACGCCTCCTGTGTGGTGGCCGGTATTGACCTGCCCCCACACCGACACACGCGCTGCCCCGGACTTTGTCAGATGGTGTCAATACTGGGCGGTATCGAGCCTTTGCTAACAGCGTTGGTGCTGACCGAACGCCATGTTTGTTTTCAGATACTACCGCGGCGCGCTGGGAGCGCTGCTGGTCTATGACGTCACAGAGCGCGAGACTTTCTACAGCCTGGAGAGGCTCTGGCTGCGCGAGCTGCGGCTGCACGCCGGCGAGGACATGACCGTGATTCTCGTGGGTGAGTCACGGTCGTAGGCGTCGCGGCATGGCACGCGTCTGGCAGAGGGGGAGTGCGAACCGTTGCCTCGGTGGATCATTAGCAGCGGTTCACTGCAGCACGCCGGTCGATGCTGGCTGGCAATGGCCAGTGGACCGATGGCTGCACGATTGGAATGTGTTCTTGCCGAGCGGGCGTGGCGTCCACTGACACGTCTCCTAAGCATTTAGGCATATGCCCCAATCTACTTTAGCCTCCGTCCTGAGGGCGAATCCAGAACGCCGCTTTTGGGAGGCAACCTTGACTTCGAGTCCCAAAGCGTGTCCTGATCTGAAAAAGCACCGGATTTCGCCTCCTTTCACCACAAGGATCGTCATATGGCAAACTTCGCCAAGCCAAAACTCCCCACACTGTTCTCAAACACCAGAAATGTGTTATTTTGGGGCTCAACTTGGACCATCTGGGGGGCACATGTTCCGGCTGGCCCTTCCGGGTCCGTCTCTCTTCCGTCCGAATCATTGCTCTTCGGCCGCATGTCCCCAGCTACGTCTCGTTTCAGGCCAGTCCTCTGTAGTTCACGAATCTCCATGCCTTAATGTGGCGGCCTGCACACGTAGATCACTGGGCGAGCTGGTCTTCCGCTGCTAAATCCGTCTCCGGCACTAGCGGCAACCCTTGCGACTCGTCCCATCGGCAGCCGGGGGACCTCGATGGGGACCGGGTGCCGGACGTCGGGGGCCCGTGTCCACTGTGAACGGGCGAGTCATGCCGACACAAACCACAACAGTGACGTCACACCGTCAGAACCGCCTGCGAGAAGCGCAGCGATCGATCTCCAGCAGCGGGGCGTGTGACGTCACCGATCGTGACACGGTCGGACCACGTCGGCTGGATGAGTCACGTGTGGCCCAGGCGACCAGACCACGCGCCGGGCTCCCCCGGCCCTGGACGGCGGCCGCGGCGCGTCTCAGGCGTGACGCGTCACGAGGCCGGCGGCCCGTGACGTGGCGCCCGGCAGCGGCCCCGCTGTTTACGTTCGGTGATCCTCCACGGGGCGGGGTGGCCAGTCACCGATCCAAGGACGCGCTCGGTGATGACGGTATGCAGCGCGCGATGGGTTCTGGGCTGTGTACAAACACAGCGCAGTTAGCCTGCAAGCGTGACTGTGAGCAGTGCGCTGTACCGGCGGCTCCGGCGTTCGACTGCCGCCGACGGGGACCGCACGTGGTTCATGGGTGAAGGATGCGCCCCAGTGGCACGGTTTGTAGGACTTTGTCCGGCCTCGCTTATTCGGAGTCCGAGTAAACGCCGTCAGAAGCCGCATTCGGTGCAAAACTGGTCCATGCAACACCGCCATCATGGCCTTAGCGTGACAAGAAACCGCAGTCCGTGGTCCACGGCCGGGGCGGATTACCTCTCGGACTGCCGAGAACAGAACTTACCTGAGCCTTTGGCGTCGCGCTGTCGGTCTGAGTCTTCCGCCGGCGCGGGCGCAGCTTTCAGATGCAGGATAGATACTCAGTGCTCGGAGGAAAATCGACATCTGGAATGCGGTAGGATATTACTGTGCATTTTGATTTTACACAGGCTGCATGTCCAAGAGGCGAATAGCTAAATGACACACCGATCTCAGGTCAAAAGACTGAGACGTACAATGCGATGACGTGGAACAGTCGACCAAAACGTGAGAAAAATTCCCCTTAAAATTCGACAAATTCCCGTCCTACTCCTTACAGTCATGTGAAACGTCATAATGTTCGTCAGTCATCACAACCCGGAATGAATCATTGCCGCTCAAAAAGCCGCACGACCTTGCCCACTTATGTCTGGGCCGGTGTTGACAATGGCTTTGAAATACGTCATCATGGCCTACCGCTGAGAGTAAAGCAGGACGAAGCCACGTCATCGAGGACGAAGCAGCGCCTTGTCCATTCCTCGCCAGACCCTCTCCACCTCCATCCGGACAGGTCACGGAGCTGACCTGCGCCGCCCACGAACCGGAACGGGGAGTTGGCTCCATGCTCCGCCCGACCCTAGGTTGGCGCAGTGCGCGCGACCTTGCGACCCACCGCGACAGCACCAGCGGCATAGGACGCCGAGAGTCCGCGTGCTTCTGCGGCAGCCCGCTTGTTCATCGCAGGTCCTGCTGCGACACAGCGCACCACCCGGGCGGCGCTGGCGGGCGTGCTAGGGTACCAGCCTCGCGCCGCGTGTTTTCGTTCCGCACAGTCTCGTGCTGAAACTGCTTGTCGCCGGCTGTCACCAGCTCGCGGACAATGAAAGAATTCACCAGCAAAGCTCATCGCGCTGAATAACTCTGTACCGTGCGGTGCGGGTTTTTGTTTTGTTTTTATCAGGTCGTTTTTCACTATGCGGTCACCAGTGTTTGGTTTTCCGTGTAATGCTGTATTTTACTTTATAAAATGTTACACGGAAAACTACCCTGTTATGTGACTGGCATCAAATGCTACGCCACTGGTTGGAATGATTCCTGACTAAATTGACTTGACGGTATCCCTCAATGTCGTGTCAGGTAACAAGGCCGACCTGCGCCACCTGAGGACCGTGAGCTGTGAGGAGGGGCGCGCCCTGGCCGAGCGGCACGGACTCAGCTTCGTCGAAACCTCCGCGCTCGACTCCACCAATGTGGACGCCGCCTTCGAGAACATCATCACAGGTTCGTCCTCGTCCACAGCCATCGTTTCACTGGCGGTCCCAGCTGCGATGTTCGTGGAATGCGGTATGGTAGGTGCGGTAGCGACCAAGCTATCAAACGAGCCTTCTGCGAAATAAAAAAATGCTAGAAGTTGAAATGCAAAACCTGAGCCAAATTTGCAACTTAGCCTTATCTAACATATTCTTGAAAAGCAAGAATTGACCCAAACCTGCAACTTAGCCTTATCTAGCATTTGCATGCCGTCTCGGTCGCGGCAGCTTTCCACATCCAGGCCTAGAACACCAAAACATGACGGGCTGTAATTGTGATCGGGGAAAATAGAGGAGTGCTTGTCGTAATACTGAAGTCCGTCTAAAGCTAAGGGCTTGCCAACCGCTGCGTCACTCGAGTACTGTGTCTTTTCTCTGAGCTGAAGCAGTATGGGCATCCTTGGATGGACGATAGGATCGCAAAATCTTTTCCGTGCCACGCTGCAGCGAAACGGTGGTCTTCCCCGGCACTGCACTTCCTCGGGCCCACGGGTCACGGGGCAGGGCCCTCCCAATGAGACCACACGGCGGACGGGTCGGTCGCTGATCCGATTCGCACCAGCATCGACTCGCTGTGTCTCCATCAGCAGGGCGCGCCCAAGCCGCCGCCAGCGACGCCGCCCTGACCGGGCTTCACCCCCCCCCCCCCCCCCCAGAAGCTGTGACCAGGTCGCTCTCCCCCCCCCCCCCCCCGCCCACTCTGACCCGGTCGCTCTTCCCCCCCCCCCGCCGCCCTGACCAGGCCGCTCTCCGCGACGCCGCCATCGCTCTAACCGGATCGCTCCCCCCCCCCCCCCCGCCGCCCTGACCGGGCCGCTCTCCGCTCCCGGCAGAGATCTACCGGCGGGTGAGTCGGCGACCCATCACGGACCTGCACACGGACTGCATGCTGTTGACCTCTGGCTCGCGGCCGGTCAGCGTGCCGCCGCGGCCGCCCTCGGGCCCGGAGCCGGACGAGGCCGTCCACATCCGCAAGTGCTGCCAGCTGTGAGAGCTGCCGGCGTGCTCCGGCAGCGGGACACAGTGGCCGAGCTGGCGGCTGCTGAGCGCGCGCGGAGGCGGGCCCGCCCGGCGGCGACGCGACCGTGTCGCGTCGCGGCCGGTCAGCGTGCCGCCGCGGCCGCCCTCGGGCCCGGAGCCGGACGAGGCCGTCCACATCCGCAAGTGCTGCCAGCTGTGAGCGCCGCCGGCGCCCGGCGGCGGGACACAGTGGCCGAGCTGGCGGCCGCCGAGCGCGCGCGGAGGCGGGCCCGCCCGGCGGCGACGCGACCGTGTCGCGTTCGTCGCCTCTGCCCGCTGGTGTGTGCGGGCCTGCCATACGTGATAACTCGAATGTGTGCGTGTGTGCATGCAGGGGCGCGCTGGACACTTGCAATGTTGATATTTTCCGTTTGTTGTGCCCGCCCGTGAGTAGACAGCACCACGTGTAATTCTTAGTCATACAGAGCTTTGCGTTCATGACACTCACGCCCGCTTTGCGATTTTGTAGAAACCCACGCGCGGTAGTTTAATACATAATTATCGCAACATTTCTGATATTCTCAGCACTGAAGTGTCATTTCATTTCAACGACCCTCAGCTCCCTGTCGATTTCCATCATATTCGCTTAACCAATGCCCCTCGCTCCAGACACGGCTCTGCCCCAAACTGATGCCATCGGGCCTTTTTAGCGAAAGCCGCCGCTAGGTCCGATACAACCGCTCGGAGTCATGTTATATTACGGCCCACTCGGACGTTGCGACGAGGTCAGTTCAACAAACGTCCGTCAACAAAATCTTCACGCATTTTGCGACACCTTCGCTCGCAGGGAGAACGTTCGCACATAGCGTAATCATACTCTCAATGGAATAATGAAACTTTGACCTTTGATCAAACTAAACAGTTCATTAAACCACTCACAGCACGTTGAGCCGTTTTCTTTTTGCTCAAAGAATGCACGTTTGTCACTGTCTCCTTTAAAGATTAACCAAGGGAGCGCAAACAGCACCCAGGCAAAACAATACCATCCACTTACGGGCATCGAATGAACGACCGGCCCTCCCTGTGCCGTCGGCTCACCTCACCCACCCTACTGGCGGTATACAACTCCCACTCCCACAAAACTTCCATCTCCCAGACAAAGCTCAGCGCAGGGTCGGACTCCTGAGCGTATCGCCCCAGGTCACCAGCGACGCTTGCACCGCAGTTGTCCTGCCGTCCCCGCTGCCGCCGCCGCTGCCGTCCGCCAAGCTGTCTGCCGAGCTCCAGAACCGGTCCCCGCCTGCCTTCGGTTGCCAGCTTTCGCCGCCGCCTTTCCTCCGTCGCCGCGTCCAGCGCACCACGTGAAGAGCATCGCTGCGCTGTCCGTTCCCAGAAGATGGCAGAGCTCGACTCACGACCGCTCGCTAGATCAAACCACGCCAACGAGAGAGAGAGAGAGGGGGGTAGACTCGGCGAGCCCCGGCGGCGGTGGCGGCGGCGACGGCGGTCGGCACCGCCCGCTAGCTGCGAAACCTCGCGACCGAGCCTGGAGTCGTGCCTCGGTGAGACTCACTGCACTAGCCGCTCCATGGAGGAGAAGCCGACGGAGCCGAGCTCGAGAAAGCCGGAGTCCTGGCTGCGCGCGCCCAGGCCCAGCTCGATGTGGCCGCCCTTCATCTGCCAGCAGAGGGACGGGGTCATGCAGAGCCGGAGGACACGCTGCGGTTCGGGTCTACGTGACGTCATAGGCGCCGGGTGCGAGAAGCCGTGCCATGTTGTCAACTGCAAGCAACTCGTTCACATTCGCACGCATCGCATCGCCTGTTCTGCCTCCAAAGATCACATTTAGGATCCGTTTCATAGCGCAATTAAGCCAATGCAAACAAGCCCTGAAAATACATCAGAATCTACGCTTAAATATTATCTGCGATCAACTCAATGCGCCCACCTGAAAACACTGCAGTTCCCAGTCATGGCTTAACAATCCATTTTCACGAAAGTACAACGCTTAGCACGAAACTCGCAAAACACAGCCAACCAGGAAAAGTGCCGTCAAAGGCTGCAACGTCACGCGACCGACCTTCAGACCGTCGTCGTAGATGGAGCCGAACGAGGCCGGGTCCGTGCCGGCCGCCCGCTTGCCGCCGCCGCCGCCACTGTCGGCATTGTTGTTGTCGCCGTCGGCGTCGCGCAGCCAGGTGGCTGGCGCGCCGAGGTCGGGCGCCTCGTGCGGCGGCGTCATGTCGTACGTCGGGTTCTGGAACTGGTTGTGCGCGGCGGGCCGGGACGCGCGGCGCCGCTGGCGCCGGCGCAGCCAGAGCGCCGCCGCCGCCAGCAGCAGCGCCGTCAGACAGAGCACGGTGCCGATGGTGGCCCCACGGGCGCCAGCGCTGCCGCTGCCGCTGCCGCCGCCGCCGCCGGTGCCGGGCGCGGCCGCCTCCCCGGCGGCGGGCGTCGCTGTGCCGAGCTCAGCCTGGCAGTCGGGCTGGTTGTCCGGGCAGTAGCAGGCCACCTGACCGGCGTGCGGCAGGCACATGTACCGGCAGCGGGCGTGCGCGCGGCATGCGCTCTCTGCGCCATTCTCCAAGCCGAGCAGCAGCGGCTGACGCAGCCGGTGCACCACGTCCACGGCGCGCTGCTCCATCTTTGTGTCGTGCACCGTCTCGCAATAGTCGGCCGAGCCGTTGACGAGCGGCACGATGGCGCCGCGCTCGTCGCGGCGCAGGCGCGTGTGGCAGCGGCGCACGGCGCTGCGGTGGCTCACCACGTACGCCCAGTCCTCGAACACGGCCAGGCCGCGCGGCTGGTGCATGCCGGGCACGTCCAGCTGGCGTTGCGCGCCGCCGCCGGCCAGCGGCGTCGCGCCCAGCCGGTGGTAGTGGCTGTCGAACCACCAGACGCGGCCGGAGGCGCGGTCCAAGTCAAGCCCGCCGCAGCGGCCCACCTTGTGCTCGGCCAGCACGCGTCGGTCGGCGCCGTCAGCGCTCAGCAGCAGCACGCGGCCGCGGCGCCGGCCGCCCGGCGCCGCCAGCACGTCAGCGCATGCCAGTAGCTGGCCGCGCTCCGGCACTGGACGGAGCGCGCGCAGCACCTCGCCGGGCGTGCGCGCCAGCGTGCGGCATTCGCCGCTGGCGGTGCAAGCGCGCAGCACCCCCGCGTCTCCCTGTCGGCTGGCCAGGTACACGTTCTTGGTCGTCCACTCGAGCGCCAGCGCCGTTAGGCCGGTGACGTTGGTGACGAGCAGGCGGGGCGCCGCCTCGCCGTCGGCGCGCGCCGCGCCCGTCCCGTCAGCCAGCACGCCGCCGCGCGCCGCTGCGAACACGCCGCCCTGGTAGCTGTCATAGAAGTAGAGCGTCTGCGTCCAGGCGTCGTAGTCGGTGAAGGCGAGCGTGGCGTTGGTGGTGCGGTAGACGAGGTTGACCGAGCGGCTGCGCACGTGGTCGGCGATGACGGAGTCGGCGCGCGTCATAAGCAGCGTGGGCGAGACGGTGGAGCGGCAGCGGGCGCCGTCCGCCTCCAGCCAATAGCCCGGCCGACAGTCGCACCGGAACCCGCCCTCTGTGTTGTTGCAGAGCTGCGCACAGGGCGCGCCACGCGCGCACTCGTCCACGTCGCGGCACGTCTTGCCGTCGTCACGCAGTTCAAAGCCGTCGGCGCAGCCGCAGACGGGCGCCGTGGGCGTGGGCCGGCAGCGGTCGGCGCAGATGCCCGTGGTGCAGGCCTCGCCGCAGAGGCCGCCCTCGTCGCTGCGGTCGGCGCAGTGCGCCACGCCGTCGCACACCTCGCCGACGTCGACGCAGCGGAAGCCGTCGGCGCATGCGTACTGGTCGTCGCGGCAGCGGCCGGCCTGCGGCGTCTCGAAGCTCGGTGACGGCCGGCCGGCGCACTGCGCATGCGCCTCGTCCCAGCCGTCGCTACAGTCGGCCTCGCCGTCACACAGCCAGCGCGGGTCGATGCGGTGTCGGGTGCCGCGGCAGAACACGCCGCCGCAGTCCGCCTCGTCCTCGCCGCCGGCGCAGTCCTCGGCGCCGTCGCAGAAGGCGGCGGCCGACAAGCAGCGCCCGTCGTCGCAGGCGCGCTGCCCGTCGCCGCACGAGACGCCAGCGCGTGGCGCGAGCACCGGCAGCGCGCCGCTGGCGCCGCAGTGCTTCGCCCTCGTCGTCGCCGTCCGGGCAGTCGGCCACGCCGTCGCACCAGAGGCTGGCGCCCAGGCAGGTGCCGTCGCCGCAGTGGCGGTCGGCCGGCTGGCAGAGCCGCCGCTGCTGACAGTCGGCCGGCTCGTCAGACATGTCGCCGCAGTCGGCCTGGCCGTCGCAGAACCAGTGCGCGGGCACGCAGCGGCCGCTGCTGGCGCACGTGAATGTGCCGTTGGGGCAGTCGGCGGCGCGGCAGTGCGCCTCGTCGCTGCCGTCCATGCAGTCGCTGTGCTGATCGCAGCGGTAGTGCGCCGACACGCAGAAGCCGGTGCCGCACCGGAACTGGCCGTCGGCGCACGTGTGGCGCGCGCAGTCGCGCTCGTCGCTGGCGTCGCCGCAGTGAGACGCACCGTCGCAGCGCAGGACGGCCGAGACGCACTCGCCCGAGGAGCAGTTGAAGTGCCCCGGCCCGCAGGTGACGGCGCGCCGCTCGGGACAGTCCAGCTCGTCGTCGCCGGCCGGGCAGTCGGGCGAGCCGTCACAGAGCCAGGCGCGCTGGAGGCAGGCGCCGGAGCGGCAGGCGAACTCGCTGGCGTCGCAGGCTGCCAGGCGGCAGGCGGTACCGTCGGCGGCCGGCTGCTGACCCGTGCCGCAGGCGCACGTCTCGCCCTCGGCGCCTGCCAGACAGAGCGCCGCGCAGCCGAGCCGGCCGCACGCGCTGGCCGCCAGCAGCGCGCGCAGCCGGCGCCGCCGCGCGGGCCCGGCCACGGCCACCCGCAGCAGCGCCCGACCCGGTCCGTCGGAGCCCGGCTGCAGCAGCTGCTTGAATCGATTCCTCGGCGCTCGCTTGTCCGTCCAGTGCAGCTCCCACGAGTGCATGTCGGTCCAGTAGACGAGCTCGCCGCTCACCGCCACGCTCAGCGGGCTGGCCAGGTAGCTGCGCAGCGGCTGCCGCTCGCCGCCGTCGTAGCGTACGCTCTCGATGACTCCCTGCTGCGCGTCCGCCCAGAACAGCCGGCCGGACGCGTCGTCGGCGCTCAGCGAGCCAACAGTCAGCAGCCCGTCCGAGACGAGCGGCCGGCGTCGGCTGCCGTCCAGCTCCAGCTGCTGGATGGTGCCGGCGCGGCCGCCCAGCGCCAGGAAGAGCCGTCGCGCCGCCGCCGACACGGCCAGCGCCGTCAGATGACGCAGCCCATCGGCCACCAGGCGGCGGTGGCGGCCGTCTGCGCGCACCAGTTCCACTACGCCGCGCGCGGAGTCGGCCCAGTAGACGTTGCCGCGCACCGGGTCGACTGCCAGCCCGACCACGGTTGTCACGTGGCCGCCGATCAGCACGCGCCGCCGCCGCTCGTCCAGGTCGCAGCTGAAGATCTTGTCGGCGGCCGCGTCGGCGTAGAGCAGCGTGAGATTGAGCGCGCCGCCCTCCGACGGCAGGTAGTCGAGCGCCACGGCGGTCACCATGCGCGCGGGGAACGCGGTCAGCTGGGCGGCGCCCGGTCCGCCCAGCACGTTCACAGACACGTCCAGCAGGTGCTCCGAGCCGGCCACTACCACCCGGCTGGCGTTCCCCTGCAGGCAGCTGAAGCCGTCGGCTGCCAGCTCCATGTCCTCGGCGCAGAAGCAGCGGTAGCCGGCGGCGGTCGTCGACGAGAGCAGGCAGAGATGGGCGCAGCGCGCCGCGACGCACGGGTTGTCCAGAGGCGGCTGCAGGGAACTGTGCAGCGCCTGCAGCCGGTACGACCAGCGATCGGCGCGTTTCAGCACCACGCTGCGGTTCTTGCCCGTGTCCTTGTCGCAGCCGTGCACCTCCTCGGCGTCGTAGTCGGACCAGATCAGCCGGGGACCGAGCACGGCCAGCGAGAACGGCGCACGCACGAGCAGCTCTGGCACGGGGCGGCGCCGAGAGCCGTCGAGCCGGGCGCTCTCGAGCAGGCGGCGGTCGGCGTCGGACCAGTACAGTCGTCCGGCGGCCGGGTCCACGGCCAGCGCCACCGGCGTCCCCAGACCGGCCACCGGCAGCTCGGCCGCACCCCGGCCGTCCAGTCCGGCGCGCAGCAGCCGGCCGCCGCTCTCGCCCACCTCCGACCAGAGGAGGAGCCGCTCCTGCGGGTAGACGGTCAGCGCCAGCGGCCGGCCGGTGGTCGCCGCCATCCACCACGGCACAGTGGCCCAGCCAGTTGCAGGCGGCCAGGCGGCGTCGGTCGACGTCGGCCATGTACAGCGCGCGCGCCACCCACTCCCAGGCGAGCGCTTCCACCGTGCCCTGGCCACTCAGCACGAATGGCTCGGCGTTGGCGCTCTGGAAGTCGGCGCGCCGTCGCACGCCACTCAGGCCGCTCTCGGCGCGGAAGCTCCAGTAGACGGTGCGCGAGGCCAGGTCGCCGGCCACGGCCAGCAAGCGCTCGTGGCCGGACCGGCACCAGCGGGCGTAGCAAACGCGACCGCAGTTGTAGGCTGTGCACGGCGCGGCCGTCAGCCAGCAGCAGCGCCGGCTCGGCCGCCGCCGAATCCAGCGCGCAGCTGCGATTATCGGCGGCCAGAGTCAGGCCCGCCGGGCAGAAGCAGCCGCCCCCCGGCGCGCAGCTGTGCTCGCAGCCGCCCGCCGCCTCGCACGGCCGCTCCGCGCGGCACGCTCCGGCCGCGTCGCGCACGTGCTCGGCCGGGCACGCGCACACGTGGCCGCCGGCCGGGCTGGGCCGGCACAGCTCGCCATCCGGACACGTGCCGTTGCGGCACGCGTCGCGTCGCGCGCAGCCGGCGCCCTCGTCAGAGGCGTCAGCGCAGTCGGTGTGCGTGTCGCAGACGCGCGCCGCCTCCACGCAGCGGCCGCCGTCCGAACAGCGGAACTGGCCGGCCCGGCAGGCGGCCGCCGCTTTCGGCGCGCAGTCCCGCTCGTCCTCGCCGCCGGCGCAGTCGGGGTCGCCGTCGCAGCGCCATGCGGAGTGCAGGCAGCTGCCGTCGGCGCACCGGAAGCCGCCGGTGCACGAGGCAGGGCAGCCGGCCTCGTCCGCGCCGTCCAGACAGTCCACCTCGCCGTCGCACTTCCACTCGGCGAAGACGCAGAAGCCGCACCAGAGGTTCGGCGCCACGCACTGGGCCTTGACCTCTTCCGGCGAGCGGGTGAACTCGACGCAAGCCAGCTCGTCAGAGCCGTCGCGACAATCCCGCTGGCCGTCACAGCGCGAGGTGGCCTGCAGGCACGCCCTGCCGTCGGTGCAGCGGAACTCGCCGACGCCGCACCGGGCCACGCGCAGAGGGTCGGCCGCGTAGATGGCGCCCAGCGTGATGGGCAGGACAAACGGAGCAGCGCTGGGCGGTCCCCAGCTGGCTCCCAGCAGCAGCAGCGCGCACCACGCCCACAGCGTCCGCATGGCGTCCGAGGCTCGCACGGACAGAGACCGTGCCGCCGACGGCACCCAGCGCCAGACCTCAGGTCGGGTCACGTGACCACGCCCGGGGGGTCGCGCAGGGGCGGCGCCAGGCTACCAGCCGGCCGGGAAGCCTGGCGCCGTCAGTGTTGAGTGTTGAGCCAATGTTGAGCGAGTTCAAAATGGTATGCCTGCTCCAAATATATCATACTTAGCAGGCTCATAACGTGTTCGTTATTCGACTTGCTTGTTATTAACCTGCTTGTTCTTAAGTTGTTCTTAACCCAACTTGTTCGCTATAGCTTGTAAGTTTGGCTGCTAATCAGGAATATGTGCAAACCGCCTCTTGGTAAAGATCACTGTTTTGGTTTTTGGTTTTGGGGCATTTGCCTTCTTCAAACAGAAAACTGCATCTCTGCTTGCGGGACTTTGTAAGGCTTTACCGAAGACGTTACCTTTTCGGAGACTGCGGGCGCATGTTTGCATTGTGCTGCCGACTGGAGGCGCCCTTGCCAGCCGCCCAGCGCCATCTAGCGTGAGGGCTGTGCTTGGCGCCCAGTCCTCCCCACAGATTAAAACGCAAATATTTTATGTTTAACTCGCTGCAAGGTATCCAGTATACAATGGCAATACAAATATACAAAAACAAATATGCAAGTGCCAGGTAAGGTGTCAAATGCGATGATTAGTAGGATCGTACCTTGCTTTGTCGTCGTTGCCCCAGAGGATTTAATATTATCTGCGAGTTATGGGGCATACAACGCCGACACGCGCATAAGACGTCAACTGTGCCTCCGCTGCCCGATGCCTGTACTTATACTATCCTGGTGTTGTACTTATGCTATCCTGGGCTCGTACTCGTGTACCTGACGGCGGCCGTCTAACTGACTCATCGTGCGCTGCACCCAGTTTACACGTCCAGAAAACATAACGCAACGTTCTCGGGCGTCCGTGAAGTTGTTTTTTCCCCACCCCGCGTACACTTACCGTTATCACAACGTGCTGCCTCCTCATTGCAACATACATCCTATGTGTTATCAACGCAGGCTCCACACTGCAGCACACCACCACCGCCAGCGCAGACGACCAGTCTGGCATACACCCTCGACCGCAGCACCACCTATCCGCCGCGGCCGGTACTAAGGTCGGTCTGAGGCGGCCGCGCACGGTCGGTCGGGTGGTATGCCATCGGATGGCCACATGTCACGGCCTGGGTCACCGCCCGCTCGGCCGGCGCGTGGCATCGATGCCCGGCGTCGGAACCAGACTGTTTTCAATTAACGGATCCCGGGTCGGACCTTCGACAAAATGAGCCATGTAGGTCCTGTTTCCTGAAAGAGCCTCAGCAAGGACTAGGGTGTGATTGCGAATATACTTAGTACTGATATTGTACTGGTCGAAGCGCCGTCCGAGGAATTAAATGCACGGGGTTCGATTACCTTCGTAATCCCCCCCCCCCCCTACTTCGCTGTTCCCGCCAGGGCGAAGAGGCAGGCGACGTCATATAGCCTTAGAAGCTGAGTGTTTCGTAAAACCCAAAATCACACAAGACTTGTTGTTGGAGGGTAAATTAAACGACGGACACTTGAATGGCGCGTTTTGACTTCAGCCACCCGTTCATTGGAAACAGACCCGTAATACTATGTGGCCTGGTACCATAAAACCTCTGCACGCCTTCGGTGCGATTAAGAGACCCGCTTTTTTGTGTCGGCACGTTTCATGTCAGCGCAATTCCAAAGAACGACTGGAGCCTTTTGTGTTCATGTACACAGCCCTTGGCACCGTTCCAGAGCATATCCCTAGCCGTGTGATCTTCAGAGATCTACAGGTAGCACGGGCTATATCCCGTGTACCTTTGTGCCCGTGTACCTTTGTACCTGCACCCGTGTACCCGGCGGTTTGGAGCGCGATGAACTATTACAGAACTTACAATCATGACCGCATATTCGCCTCAGATCGGTAGCAGTGCACAGTTAGCAGTGTGACGCCTGACCAGCGCCCGTTTGGTCGCGAAAGTTGAGCTGACTGGGCGTCTATCTGTGTACTTGGCGTGCGAAATAATTTTATTTGAAAACATAATGATAAGATATAACATAAACCGAAAGTGTTAACCTCTACGTCTACGAGGCAAGCGCAGGCTCTGGTGCTGATACACATGTTGTTGCGTCGTTGACCTTCAAGCGAAAAAAAAACAGGTGCGATGGGCGCAGCTGTTCATCTCCCTGCTAGACCATTTGGAATTTAGGGTTTATCTTTTACATCATTGTCACCATTGAGGATCCTTTATCGCGAAAGCTCCTGGACACTACGCTGTCGGCAGTCTGATAATGACAGACGGCACATTCACGCACTGTTTAGCGCGATTTATCTTTAAACGGCACATTCAGGTGCTATTTAGCACGATACGCCTATAAAACAGCACATTCACGCGCTATTTAGCACAACTCAACTGGTCCGAACAACTGCTCTGACTCCGAACGTTGGATGATGAAGCCTGGGTCGGTCGCATTGGAAATTGACAAACTAAGCCCACTTCATCTCTATGGACATGTACGTCGCCTGGATGTTTTGCTGTTCACACTAACTGCATTAGCCGTAACAGGTTGTTCTGGGTCGTGTAGCTGTAATGGTACAGCTAGCCATGCCTTTTTGGCTCTTCAAGCCGGTGGGAGATATACCGGTAGCAACCGGAACAACGTTGCTTGAGACGACTGACGAGAGCTTCTTCAGATTTGCACCTCAGCATAGACGTGGTGGTGGAATCTAGCTGACTCTTGTTGCTGTGCGTAGCTGTTAATCCATTGCGAGGATCAGTCTGAAATATGCACCCCAGCTTGCCCTAAGCCCATTTAAATGAACCTCATCGAGCATTTAGAGACAGAACTCCTCCGTACATGCTCGTGATTTCTTTTCTTCGTAGACGATTTTCTCAATGTACAAAGCAGATCAGGTGTTCATGTGCCGGCCATGAGAGACTCTGCTCAGACTCACTCTGATGTGCATGGATCCATTTTAGGTTGTATTGCTTTCCTGCGCCCTTTTAGCGGTAAACGAGGCTTCGGGAACTCCGCTGAGTTTGAGTTATTCTTATTTCTTATTTTAAAGATTCTGCGTACATTTGTGGTTAAGCATGTTGGGGAGGGGAAATAAGCCCTGGTATGGCGACAAATTAAATATGGTGAAGTCAGTGTTCCATTAAAAGAATACAAATGGACATCCATGTCATTGAGATTCATGAAATGACTTGATATTGCCAACAATCAGGAGGCCCCAACTGAGCGTGTTCTAGGGGTTTCCCATGCAACCAAGCGACCTAATATTGTCTGGAAACGAGAGGACTCCAGCCTACGTGGTTCAGTGCAACCATTTGCCATGAAGCGGTCTCGCGTTGTTTTAAAACGAGGAATTCAGAAATGAAAATTTTGGGACCTATACACGGTCGAACACTTTCCTCCCTCCCTCCCTGAATCTTATATGATTTGAGTCCACGCCCTTAACAGAGTCGGCGCGTCCTAAAATATAAACAACAAAAAAAAAACGAAAACAAAATTCCTCGAGGAGGCGAAACTCCGTAGCTGACAAAAATGTTGGCCATTGTTAATACCATCCACCACGTGACCGAGCAACATCTATGAGCTTGCAACAATTGATGACTTTTCATAAACCGGTAATTGTTGTTGTGTAATGAAACATTTAGTGTTGAACAAGAAGCATACCAGACTAACAGATAATTCTACTACTGCGCTAGGTAAGGCCAAGAACGCCTTCCAGGAAGGATCGAATCTCATTTCACAGGCGACCGCTCTTCCGACAAGTAAATTTGAAACGTGAAACCCATGAAAACCCACGTTTGAAACCCGTGTGCCCCGGTAAGCCAACATATGCATCCCAGAGTCAGCATGAGCCCTTCGAAGAGTTGTGAAGAGCCCATCAGTATTGTGAAATGTCCAGAGCGATTGTGAGTGCCTCGTAGATAGGGCAATTAGGGCCCTGAAAACAGCGAAGGGTTGTACAAAAAAATGCAAATCACCCGAGACCAATGTCGTGAGGCCCTCGAGCAATCGAGAGCGTCCGGGAATGCTAACCATAGCGCCCCCGATAAGAACGTACAACCCTCCGCAGATGGGAACAAGCAGGTCGTAAGTTGGTGCCAAGGAGAAAAACAGCGGAATATGCACACAAGATAACAGTATCACAAAGGCTGACAACTACATAACGGGTTATACATCATGACAACTGCCGTGTTGAATGGTCATGACACACGCAAAGGGCACGAGCCAGAGGGTAGGAAACTGATTGCTTCAGACTGACAATGAGAAATACGGGTATGATGGAAGATTGGAGCTTTCGGGATGTCCGGGGATCGCCTCTGGACATGAAATCAAACCACACGTTTAGAAAGATCTCATGGAAGACGACCTGGAAGTGTTGTAGTGAGTAGTCGTGGGGAAGGAAGGAGAAACTTTGCTATACCAAATCACAAGTGGATATGGATTTGGACGGGTCGTCAGAAAACAAGCTGTCTGGGCGAGAATAGGAAAAAATGCCGCGTGTCCGCTTTGTCTTCCACCTTAACAAGCGCCCGGGCGGGGAAGGTTAGTTTGACGCCCCCTCCCCGAAGGTTTTCCAGAATGGTTTCCAAACGGCGCGGCTTAGCAGCGTCAAACACTGCATGGCTGTAGGCAATTTACTAGCAGATATTTTGATGTGAAAATAGTTGTACGCTGTGCGGTAGCTGACCTTTGCCAGATGAAGGTCAGGCCCTGACTGCCAGCGAAGGGCATTTCTAGGGAATTATTCGATGTGATACAACAACATAATATCATACGATACCATGCACATCTAAGATGGTTTCTTAGGCAATGAACCAAGTTAATTTAGAATTAAAGCAAATTCCACTAACCTAGCATCACGCATAAAGGTCAGACCTAGGTTAAAAGAAACCTGCTCTTCGCTCGAGAGCTTAGTTTAAAAGGTTGTTTATGATGCTTATTTTGAATTTATTTA